GCTTGTGGTTTGAATGCCAATGATTTCACAGGGCACATTTCTTGCTTAGGAGCTGCCACCATGGCTTTCAGATGTTATGTGTGACCAAGATCCCTAGACTGCAATGTCCCTATGTGATCCCAACTGGGATTCAGGCCTCACCATGGGACTGAAACTGCCTTGGTCGTGCTGGTTGATGATCTCCACCAGGCTAGGGACAAAGGTGAGAACTGTTTCCTAGTTCTGCTGGATCTCTCAGTGGCTTTTGATACAATCGACCATAACATCCTTCTGGACCGTCTTGAGGGGCTGGGAGCTGGCGGCACTGTTATACATTGGTTCTGCTCCTTTCTCCTGGGCTGTGTCCGGAAAGTGGTGGTGGGGGATGAGTGTTCAGAACCCTGGGCTCTCACTTGTGGGGTGCCTCAGGGTTCCGCCCTCTCCCCCATGCTTTTCAACATCTACATGCAGCCGCTGGGAGAGATCATCAGGGGGTTTGGGTTGGGTGTTCATCAATATGTGGATGATACCCAGAGCTACCTCTCTTTTAAATCAGAACCAGTGAAAGTCCTGTGTGAGTGTCTGGAGGCAGCTAACGGATTGAGGTTGAATCCTGACAAGACAGAAGTACTGTTCTTGTGGGACAGGGGGCGGGCTGTTAAGGAGGACTCCCTGATCCTGAATGGGGTAACTGTGCCCCTGAAGGACTAGGTGCGCAGCCTGGGAGTCATTTTGGACTCACAGCTGTCCATGGAGGCGCAGGTTAATTCTGTGTCCAGGGCAGCTGTTTACCAGCTCCATCTGGTATGAAGGCTGAGACCCTACCTGCCCGCAGATTGTCTTGCCAGAGGGGCACATGCTCTAGTTATCTCCCGCTTGGACTACTGCAATGCGCTCTATGTGGGGCTACCTTTGAAGGTGACTTGGAAACTGCAATTAATCCAGAATATGGCAGATAGACTGGTGACTGGGAGTGGCCGCCGAGACCATATAACACTGGTCCTGAAAGATCTTCATTGGCTCCCAGTACGTTTCCGAGCACAATTCAAAGTGTTGATGCTGACCTTTAAAGCCCTAAACGGCCTCGGTCCCATATACCTGAACGAGCATCTCCACCCCCATCATCCAGCCTGAGTTACAGCGTTGAGGGCCTTCTGGCGGTTCCCTCCCTGCGAGAAGTGAGGTTACAGGGAACCAGAGAGAGGGCCTTCTCAGTAGTGGCGCCTGCCCTGTGGAACACCCTCCCAGCAGATGTCAAGGCAATAAACAACTATTTTACTTTTAAAAGACAACTGAAGGCAGCCCTGTTTAGGGAAGTTTTTAATGCCTGATGCTGTATTGTTTTTAATATTTGGTTGGAAGCCGCCTAGAGTGGCTGGGAAAACCCAGCCAGATAGGCGGGGTATAAATAATAAATTATTATTATTATATAATCAGGATGCACACCCAATGCCCAAACCAAAGCCTATCTACATCTCTAATCAATAAAGTTGTGGTAATTTTCAATCTCAGAAAGTTGTTGTGTCAGTTTGTCCACCACTTATCACCACTTGTCCACCAGTTATCACCCCCACACTGTGATTGTGTCATGAATACGCCAGCTCCCAGTGTAGGTTTGCAGCCGGCTGCAGAAAGCAGACAGGATCAGAGAGGCTTGGATTTTACTCAGGCAGAAGAGAACCGACAGCTGCAGGCTTCGCCTCCTCATGACCTTGAAAGGCAGACTGATAAGGTAGTAGCTGAGAGCAGGCTGGAACCAAGCCAAAGCTCTCAGGAAGCACAAACAGGCATGAAAAGTGAGAGAGACAGCCTTTCGTCACAGGACGGGGCTGCAGATGACCCAAGGAGCCCGAGACATAGACGGATAGGAAGGCTACTAGACAGGAAACAAAACAAGAAATCTAAGGGTCACAGGTTCAATATCTTCTGTAGATGTAGGAAGGACTCCTTAGAAGGGTCAATTTAGTGGTGATGCCGGATGCTTGGCTAGAGCAGTCCAGAGCTAATTGCTTGTTTTTGCACTTAATTCTCCTTTTTAATTATATATGTTTACTATGTTATCAATCTGGGAACCTGGACTCCTAACAGCTTGGGTCTACAACCAAACACTGCAATGGATCAACATGCTGTTAAGTGATCATATTGACTTCAGTAAAGCTGTCAGGTAACTTCCTGGCAAAAAAAGCCATGTAGCCAAGAGCAGAGTAAAACATAGACAAAGACCCCTTGTTATGTTCTAGTATAATTTCTTTGGTCAGTGAATGGGAGAGAAGGTATTAGCCACAGAATACACATGCTTGCTTGAAAAAAGGAATTGGGTATTGGGGGTGGGGGGAATGCAACCTTACAACCCCGCACTGGAGGCTAAAATGCAGAAGATCTCCACAGTTACCATATATTTCCCTTTCATGCTCAAGTAAATTGGAAAAAAGATAAACACTACAAAAAACTAAGATAAACATACACTAATATATCATAACAAATAACTCACAATAAAAAATTCATTCTTTTCTTCTTATTAGCTGTTCCCTGTTGTTCAGTTGAGGCTGCAACAGAATAATGTAGCATTTGGGGGCAAAGATGCAACACAGCAGACCAGAGCTGGAGGCTAAGATAGAGAAGATCTCCACAGCCACCATGTATTTCCCCTTGGTGCTCAGGTAGGAGGGAATAAAGGACAGCCAAACACTACAAAAGACCAACATGCTAAAAGTTATAAACTTGGCTTCATTGAAACTGTCAGGTAACTTCCTAGCAAGAAAAGCCACTGTGAAACTCACAGCTGCCAGGAAGCCCATATAGCTAAGGGTAGAGTAAAACATTGTCACACAGCCTTCGTTACATTCTAGTATAATTTCTTCAGCCAGTGAATGCATGTCAAGATCTCGGAATGGAGGAGAGGTTGCCAGCCACACAGTACATATGAAAGTTTGAATAAGGGAGCAGGAAAGAACAATGGAGGAGGCCAGTCTTTTCCCCACCCACTTCCTCATCTTGGAACCTGGTTTGGTGGCCATGAAAGCCAGAACCACAGTGATGGTCTTTGCCAGCACACAAGAAACTGCCACTGAGAAGATGATGCCAAAAGCAGTTTGTCGGAGGAGACATGTCACGGTCTCAGGTTGGCCAATGAACAATAAAGCGGAAAGGAAGCAGAGCTGTAGGGAGATGAGGAGCGTGTAGGTGAGGTTCCGGTTGCTGGCTTTGATGATGGGAGTATTGTGGTTCTTTAGAAATATTCCCAGCACCAGTGCTGTGATCAAAGCAAAGCAAAGAGCAAGGAAGGCTAAACTGATGCCCAAAGGTTCTGCATAAGACAAGAAGCTTATAACCTTGGGAACACATGTATCTTGCCTCTTGCTAGGATAGTTTTCATCTGAGCATTTATTACAGTCATTCATATCTGGAAAAGGAAATATGTTTATTGCCATTATTTCTACAACATGCCATAGTTGCTCCCTTTTCACAAGCCCACTCCAATAATACAGCCAGTGCTGATATTGTAAAATGTCTACAGGGCTGAGTATAACTGCTTAAGTGTTACATGAATCTAAAGTAGTATCAGAGTGAAGAGAGGGATGCTGCAATGAAAATGGTGTGATCTTCTATTTAGGGTGTTATAGGTATGCTAAATGTGGTAGAGATTGCCATTCTCTAGGCAAACAGCATTAAAAGTATCCATAACCTTTCATTAACATTCTAAGCATTAAAAGATTAACCTATTGAGTTATGTGCATATTCCTCTGATTAACAGCTGTTCTGAGTTTGATCCAGACTAACTTAAGCATATTTACATGTCTTGCATTTATTTCAATGGGAGCTGAGTCCAAGTAATGCAGAGTGGATTCAGGCGTCTATGTGTATTTCTTACCTTCCATACTTGAAATCTTCCCCTCTGGGCATGGAGTACAATCGTAGCAACAAAATGGCTCTCCTTCCTTCACTTTCTTGCTAGATCCAGGTTGGCAACTCTCAGTACAGACAGAAAGAGGCTGAGTCTGATCCATAAATGAAAGAGCATAATTATAATAAAGAGAAAAATTATTAGGGAATCTTTTGGATTCTGGTCCTTTTTGTTTGTAGAGGGAGAAAATACCTGGTATGATATAGCAGATATTACTGTTCATTGAAAGCTGGCAATAATACCTCTTTTTCACTGATACTGAAGTGTTTGGGCAGAGCTCACATTTTACAGAGCAGAAAAGTAAGCATAATATAACTATATATTTTTATATTATTTGATAAAAATATTCATGATACTTGTCATTCTTTTTTGTTGGAACCAATTTACGTTTTTACAAAGGTTCTTATGAATGTCAGGTTAACTCTTACCTTAAAGTTTATGTGGTGGGCTTTTTGTTCAAATAACTCAGGATAACTGCATTAGAGTTTTTATTCCCCCTATCCTACTCCATTTTATTCTGCCTCACCAATGTTTATTTTGATCTCCCAATTTGTAAAATTTTGCTTACTTTCCTGTCCTGATAGCTTTGTAAATTTAGCGAGGAGCCAGGAATTTCCAGTACTCTTTTCTGCTTTGCTCCCAGTGGTTTTTCTGCTTGCTGAAAAAGAGGATATCACTCCTCTAATATGACAAACTGGAACGTGTCCAGAGGAGGGCAACCAAAATGGTCAAAGGCCTGGAAACGATGCCTTATGAGGAACGGCTAAGGGAGCTGGGCATGTTTAGCCTGGAGAAGAGGAGGTTAAGGGGTGATATGATAGCCATGTTCAAATATATAAAAGGATGTCACATAGAGGAGGGAGAAAGGTTGTTTTCTGCTGCTCCAGCGAAGCGGACACGGAGCAATGGATCCAAACTACAAGAAAGAAGATTCCACCTAAACATTAGGAAGAACTTCCTGACAGTAAGAGCTGTTCGACAGTGGAATTTGCTGCCAAGGAGTGTGGTGGAGTCTCCTTCTTTGGAGGTCTTTAAGCAGAGGCTTGACAACCATATGTCAGGAGTGCTCTGATGGTGTTTCCTGCTTGGCAGGGGGTTGGACTCGATGGCCCTTGTGGTCTCTTCCAGCTCTATGATTCTATGATTCTATGATTCTATATATTCTGAATATGCATCTTAACATATGTATTTTGTGAGTGTTCTTTTCATTAAAAAACTAATTTCATAGAATCATAGAATCATAGAGTTGGAATAGACCACAAGGGCCATCGAGTCCAACCCCCTGCCAAGCAGGAAACACCATCAGAGCACTCCTGACATATGGTTGTCAAGCCTCTGCTTAAAGACCTCCAAAGAAGGAGACTCCACCACACTCCTTGGCAGCAAATTCCACTGTCGAACAGCTCTTACTGTCAGGAAGTTCTTCCTAATGTTTAGGTGGAATCTTCTTTCTTGTAGTTTGGATCCATTGCTCCGTGTCTGCTTCTCTGGAGCAGCAGAAACAACCTTTCTCCCTCCTCTATATGACATCCTTTTATATATTTGAACATGGCTATCATATGACCCCTTAACCTCCTCTTCTCCAGGCTAAACATGCCCAGCTCCCTTAGCCGTTCCTCATAAGGCAACGTTTCCAGGCCTTTGACCATTTTGGTTGCCCTCCTCTGGACACGTTCCAGTTTGTCAGTGTCCTTCTTGAACTGTGGTGCCCAGAACTGGACACAGTACTCCAGGTGAGGTCTGACCAGAGCAGAATACAGTGGCACTATTACTTCCCTTGATCTAGATGCTATACTCCTATTGATGCAGCCCAGAATTGCATTGGCTTTTTTAGCTGCTGCGTCACACTGTTGGCTCATGTCAAGTTTGTGGTCAACCAAGACTCCTAGATCCTTTTCACATGTACTGCTCTCAAGCCAGGTGTCACCCATCTTATGAGGAAATGGAACAGAACCAATCTATGGGTAAAAATATGCATTTATTACAAAAACTGGCAGCAAAAATTAGTTCCATGGGTAGTGTACAGATGTAGTTAACAACTGAAAAATAAAAAAGTACAATAAAAATCAGAAAGAGTGGTTGGCCGTGAAGGCTGCCATACTTCAGTCGTACTGGCAATGGTGCTACTGCCATTTAGTGGAATGGAGAGAGAGAGATGGTCTAAAAGTCATATGGACCAATGCATACCCACTGCCAGTGCAGCGCTGAACTTCCACTGCATTGTGCCTACCTATCTCCCTCCTGGTAATGCAGCAACATTGCTGTCGGGAGGCCAGGTGTGCTGTGTAACCTTTCCCTGACAGCCATTCCTGTAAGACTCAAGTGTGTAAAATTTCCTGCTCAAGCTTCTTCACTATCGCTCCTCTTTTCTCCTCTTCTTCTGCTCCTTCTGTTTCCTCTTCTACTTTATCCTGTCTTCTCTCAATTTTTCCTTCTAGTCTCTTTGCAATTTATGTTGCCTTTCCACCCACATTACTTCTTCATTCTTTCTGGCACATCAGCCAGGGCAGAAATCTGTGGGGTTTCCTATTTATATCAATTCATAAACAGTAATATTATTTCAATCAAAAATCGGATTTTCATGGGTGTGTATGATTGTTAAATGAAAGCAGTTTTAGAAATCTGGACAATAAATCAGTGCTTATTCAATAGTGGAACTCCTTTGAAATACAGTGGTGCCTCGCAAGACGAAATTAATTCGTTCCGCAAGTCTCTTCGTCTTGCGAGTTTTTCGTCTTGCGATGCACGGTTTCCCATAGGAATGCATTGAAAATCAATTAATGCGTTCCTAGGGAAACCGCCTTCAGACTCAGGTCCGGGGACAGTCTGTCCCCTGACCTCTTCTGAAGGCTGGGGGGCAAGGGCTTTTCTTCCCACCCCCAGCATTTTAAAACCCGGGACAGCGGAGGACTTCTCCGCTGTCCGGGCGATCTTAAAATGCTGGCGGGCGGCATTTTAAAATCACCCCGGGACAGCGGAGGACTTCTCCGCTGTCCGGGGCAATTTAAAGCCCCTGGGAAGGCAGGCAGGGGGACAAAGACTTTGCCCCCGCCAGCCTTCAGAAGAGGTCCTGGACCTCTTCTGAAGGCGGGCGGGGGCGAAGTCTTTGCTCCCCCGCCTTCAAAAGCCCTCCGGGACAGGCAGGCAGGGGGAGCAAAGACTTCGCCCCCGCCCGCCTTCAGAAGGTCTTCCCTCCCCGCCCGGCTCGGAGCACCGTTCCGAGCCGGGCGGCGGCGGGAGGTCTTCCCTCCCCCCGCCCGGCTCGGAGCACCGTTCCGAGCCGGGCGGCGGCGGGAGGTGTTCCCTCCCCGCCCGGCTTCGGAGCACCGCTCGGGCCGGGCGGCGGGGAGGTCTTCCTCCCCCCGCCCGGCTCGGAGCACCGTCCCGAGCCGGGCGGCGGCGGCAGGTGTTCCCTCCCCGCCCGGCTCGGAGCACCGCTCCGGGCCGGGCGGCGGGGAGGTCTTCCTCCCCACCGCCCGGCTCGGAGCACCGTTCCGGCCGGGCAGAGGCGGGAGGTCTTCCCTCCCCCCGCCCGGCTCGGAGCACCGCTCCGGGCCGGGCGGCGGCGGCAGGTGTTCCCTCCCCCGCCCGGCTCGGAGCACCGTTCCGAAGCCGGGCGGCGGCGGCAGGTGTTCCCTCCCCGCCCGGCTCGGAGCACCGTCCGGGCCGGGCGGCGGCGGCAGGTGTTCCCTCCCCCGCCCGGCTCGGAGCACCGTTCCGAGCCGGGCGGCGGGGAGGTCTTCCTCCCCACCGCCCGGCTCGGAGCACCGTTCCGATGCCGGGCAGAGGCGGGAGGTCGTCCCTCCCCCCCCCGCCCGGCGTCGGAGCACCGCTCCGAGCCGGGCGGCGGTGGCAGGTGTTCCCTCCCCCGCCCGGCTTCGGAGGAGGCCCGAGGACAGTGGGGAAGACGCGCTGCACTTCCCCGCTGTCCCTGAGATTTCCCTATGGGCTGTCGTCTTGCAAAGCAAGCCCATAGGGAAATTCGTTTTGCGAAGCGCCTCCAAAACGGAAAACCCTTTCGTCTAGCGGGTTTTCCGTCTTGCGAGGCGTTCGTCTTGCGGGGTACCACTGTAAAAGACCCTTGGACCCTACCTGGTTAAACCAGCTGTGCCATGTTATGGCATCTTCATCAAGGGTAAATGCACGATCTGGAGAAGCCTTTGGGTTCATCCTTCCAACTCTCACTCTATGAAAGGATTGGTTGGAGGAAATAATCCAGTTGATAATATCCAAGCCAGTGATTACCTCCCCATACTGGTTGAAGGAGACCTCATCTCCTGCAGTGTTGTTAAATGAGATACTTCTCAAAAAGTGGTGGAGCTAGATTGAAAAAAGCAGGAGCTTAGGAAAGGCCGCATTTTTATCTTTCAGATAAAGATTTAATGTAGGAATGGTGAAGTTTGTTTCTATGAAAAGATGCTCACACATAGGAAACTTTTAAACCTCAAATTTAATTTAATGGTGAGCCGAGCCCAGAGTCAATGGTTGATGGTGATTGAGTCATATGTGGGTGGAAGTGGATTTTCCAATATATTTTATATCCTACACATCCTGCTTGCTTGTTATTTTTGTCAGTCTGCTCTCTCTCAAGATTGTTGTGGGATCACTTGCTCTGACGAAGCATTTGGGGACTAGAGGTTGCTAAGAGAATGATGCAGATGCCTCTGGCTGCCACCACTGTTTTCAAGTTGTGATTGGAGCCGCATCTCAATTGACTGCTCATTCATCAGCCCCACCCCCACCATGGATATTTTCTGCTGGAATAAGCTCATTGACTCATTCCTCTTTCATTGTTTAGCCAAAATTTGAAAGCATCTCAATATGTCATACATTTATCAATCCAACACTAGTTTCCTCTTTCTCACACCCATGCAGAAAGTAGTAAAGCCAGGAAACAAACAGAACTGAGGAACCCCAGATGTTGGGAGGAAGTAACATTATTCCAAGGTGCTATGCAAGATGAGAATCTTCAACCCCTTACCTTCCATAACTGTTGGTTCCAATCCTTCTGTCTCCTTTTGTGAACCATTCCTCTGAAGTTAGATGAGGTCAACACATGCAAAGCATGGGCCACAGCATAAACAGCATTGTAGATGCTATAGCTATGGCCAGTCACGCTCATTTCAAAAAAATCCCCAGGAAGGCTCTCCAGCTTCTCTTTCCCAGTGCATATAGTCCCCATCACATTGCCAACCATGGAATTTGGGAATCCACAGCGAAAGGCTTGTTGCCAGAAGTCCCTGAGGAAACCATCTCCATCTGTGGTAGAAGGATTTATGCTTTTAACATAATGATGAAATCCTCTTAAATCATTTAAGTGAATTCCAAAAGATATAGTGTCATGGAACAATCTTGACTCCCAATTGTGTTGAAGGACAAATGAAGTGAACTCCATCTGGGCTGTTGTTATCCATACCTTACCTTGTATATTCATTGTCACAGGCACAAAGTTTTTTAGAAATGGAAGCCATCTTAAAACTACCATTGAATAAGATTCTCCATAGACCAGCACTATGTTAGCTTTGCTGCTCATTATTTCATCATGCAGCTTTGCCCCATGTTGAATCATACCCTCTGTGTCACTGGCAAAACTCATTTTTGGAATTTTTTCTAGAAAGGCAAAGCAGATACCACTTTGTGTAAACACTGGGAGCACAGTGTGCACAAATCTTTCTCCATTGTCGTTATCCATCACAAGGACCCCAATCCATGTCCATCTGAAATGCAGAAGCAAAGAGAGAATTCCTGCAAATTGGTGGCGTTCCTGGGGGACCATCTGGTAGAAGGAAAATCCTGGTGTTTGATCATTCATCACTGGAGCAGGGCCATATGTGAGCTAAGGAGAGATTGGAGAAATAAATGCTATGGTTGGAAATGCTGATTGGAATAGATGAAAACTGGCTGGAGCAACCTAGTCAGATGGGTGGGGTACAAATAATGAAATTATTAAAAGCAGGGATTAATCTCAATATGGGTCTTATGCTTGTTTTTGAAATCTGTGTTCAGATCTCTGTAAGGCTTCTCATTTTGCTGCTAAGATTTCCTTGGCTGGAGAGGGGAAGATTCCACTTATGTCAACAATATGATTTGTAACAGAAATAAATTGTTGGCAAATGCTTTCATTGCTGCATTACATCCTTTCAATAACCACCCCTAAAAAGACAGTATGTGTGATTGGCTGGTATTTGTCACAAACCCAGTGCTTTTTTCTGGGGGGGGGAGGGGTACGCAGGGGTACGCATACCCCTAAACATTTT